ATGCGCAGCAGCAAGAAGGTTTCGGTCATCCCTTGAGGGTGAATCTAGCCCTGCTCGCCAGAAAGACCCCCCCCTTCACTACAACCCATGTCTAGCAAAAGCTTGTCGAGGAGCGAGGGGAAGAAGGGAGAAGTTACAGTATTACAATATATTGATTGAGGTGTGGGGGGCGCCAATCATTTTTTTTGTTTCCTCCCATCATTGGACTCTGTCGTCTGCCCCTCTGGCCCCTATCCTCCACTTCTACTAGCTAGACGACCCAATCGGGGTCACGTAGGAGGGGGGGGTTGGACCCCTCCTGCGGTTCATGCCTGAGATATTTTAATCGCGAGAAGGGTACAGAAATCCCTTCCCTCGCGACTTACGAAGTCGATCAAGTTTACTAACAACGAGCTTTGCAGCGCGTCGTTGCCAAAGGAGACCAGGATTTAATAGCGAGAAAAATCTCACTCTGTCGGGACTCGTACCCGTGACCTGGCCCTTAGCAGGCTGCGAGGCTACCCACTAGACCACCAGGGCGACGGTGATGGACTCCGAAAAAAAAAAATGTCTTGGAAAAAAAAAAGACACCTCCATACGGACTCGAACCCATGATTTCGAGAGTCTGGGTGGCCTTCACCGAGTTCACGAAGTGAATTGGCCTTTTTACAACGTTGTTGCCAAGCGACGAAAACCCAATCCCGATGGCAAACACCGAGGGGGGGGCTTGTTTTACAACTTCGTTGCCAAGCGACGAAAACCCAACCCCGATGGCAAACACCGGGGGGGAGGGAGGTGTACTCCGGCGGGGAGGGAGGTGTACTCCGGCGGGGAGGGAGGGGTGTGGTATATCAAAAAAACAGGGCTAGCAGCTAAAAACAAAAAATGTCTCTGCTGTTGTGCTCCGCCTGTTGGTTCGAGCTTTGATCGAGAAATCTCAAAAGCGTTCAAGCGTGTGATTGGTAACCAGGCTAGCACGGGAGGCACTGGTCGCACACTAGGCCTTCGCGCACAAAAGTGTAGAGAGGCGTACAGCGGTACATGTCGCACCAATGGTGGTGCGTAGCAGCGTCTGTGTGTTGTTGGTGTCGCTTGCCCCTCTCCGCGGAAAGAGAGAGAGAGAGGCCGCTGCTGCTGCTGCTGCTGCTGCAACCAAATGTTGATCTCTCCTCTCGCTTCCTCCGCCGATAGCTAACAGCAGCAGTGTATGGCACACCCTTCTCCCGCCGTCTCGCCCTCGCTGTGGTCTGTGTCTCCCTCTCCCTGTTTGTCCATGTCTGGCTCTGTGTCTTGACTCAAAATCAAACGACGCCTCCTCTCGGTGTTGCGAGGGACCAGAAACTTCCCTGCTTCAAGTTGGGTACCGACGCTGCACTATCTCGACGCACCGAGCACGGATTGAAAAGGTAGCAGTAGGGGCAGCTCGGGCAAAATATTACTTGTTGTGAACACGTCTTAGATTGCAACTTGGTGCCAAGATGGTGAAATGGGCTGGAATCTGCTGGGTAATATATCGAGGCTGGTCACAGACGGACTTGCTTGAGCCCCTTTTCCCCCCCCCTCTAAACAGCTTTTTTTTTATAACAAAAAGCGTCCCTACCGGGCCGCTTCTCTTCAAAAAAAACTATCAAAAAGTGTGGTACCATCCGTGCTTGCGACAAAAGATAGAAGTATCACCACATTTGCATCCTTGCGAGACTTCGCGCATGAATACTGATGCATGACTGTTCTCTCTTGTCTCGTACGGGCTCGTCGCGCAGCGGATGCTCCAGATATTCCCCAAGTCAACATGCACCGAAGGAAATATACATAGGTTAAGATTACAGCAGTACCGCATAGTATGGATACTAGAAGTAGAAAGGTGCAAATTTACTACTTACCACTTCTATCGTCAATCGTCGCGCTTTTGGTTGCTTGAAAAATGGTGGTTCGACTTTCGTCCGGCTCGTAGTACGCAGTCCCTCCGCAACAAGCATGTCGCAAATATTGTCAGTCACGAGTAGGGGGCCTTGGGGGCCTCAGGGAGAGGAACCCTTTCGGCGACCACGGGTTGGAGTACGGCATTAATATGTGCTGTGAGCGTTGATTTGAAGTAGGGACGAAAGAAAATGGCAGAGGGACTACAGCCGTCCCTCCAAATAAATCGTAGGTGGCCGAGCTCCTTGCCACGCAAAGGGTGACTTGGCTTCAGCATGCAAAGTGTCCCCAAAACACGGACACACTTGTCATACTGAAGTCACGTCAAGCAACTTTTTCCAGTACCAGGTTATATACAGTTTCACCACCTAGGGGACACGTTATCCTGCCTTAGACCCCCTCGTTCCCATCCTGTGATGGTGGCCTTGACCTTCTGAGATTCGTTTGGAGAGACTCTATGCCCATGTTCCTACAACAGGTATTCATATCAGCTGCCACAATTGTTTTGTTCATGAGCTGCACAACATCTTGTGGGTGCTGCTCAAAATTATGACCGGATGTGCTCTCCAAGATGAAGAAACACCGATGACTTTCTTTTTCAACGGCTGAGCATGAAATTCCACAACGTTTTCAAGCGTGCCCTAACGGCAATTCGAATCAGGCTAATGTAGAATGGTAAAAGTCTATTTATAGTAATGCTAACCGCCTAACTGTTCCTGCGATACAACATGCACCACCGGGTGAACGTGCTACCTATGTTTGCCTAGTGTCAGCACACGCTTGGAACTTATGTGCCTCTCCCCAAACACGCCTTCCAACACGCGTACCTTTTTCGTACCGACCGACCGCCGCGTCAGACACGCACGAAAAGCTGCGCGAGGCAACACGCAATGGTGCCAAGAGGAAGGCCAGAGTGTTGTCCAAGCATCACGCCGTTTTAGCGCGGTGGACGGCATCGCCGGCTACGGGCGTCAACCCCCGACGACAACAACACAACGGGGCGAACGGTTGTAGCACGGGCGATTCTCCTGCTGCGCCGCGCTATTCCGGCACGAGGTCCAGTGAGGATATACCGCACGTTGACGCGGTGGCCGATCGAAGCGAGGAGGTTCGAGTTCAAAACAACATCGTGTCGCCGCTGTTATCGTTGGCGTCCACGGATAGCGTCGGCCGGCACGTGGTGGCCGGGGGCGGTTCGGGGGCGGGAGTGATACCCGCGGGCACGGTCCTGCTGAGGGAGACCCCGTTCGCTTGGAGTCTGCACCCTGAGTTCAATGGTGAATTCTGCGCCCACTGCCTCTGCGAGGTACGGGGTACATGGCACATGCGTATGATGGTTGCCGTTGGGCTAGTCCGAAACTATTCATGTGTGGCCCCGAACGCCAATTCCCGGTATGTGCGCGACCTTTCCCTATGTGTTCTCGGTACAACGCGTCACGATGTGCCTTCGAGACGACACGGGCGAGCTGATACGGTACGTACCTTGCCATCCGGCGTACACGTGTTCAGATAACAGGTCCGGTGACTCTCTGCCCCGAGTGTAGACGTGTAGCTTTTTGCGGCCGCGGGTGCTCGACAGCCGCCCTCCAAGAGTGGCACGGCAGCGAATGCGTAGACGCATCTTCTTGTACTCCCCTCGAACCGGCACTGTCCGGCGTATCCCCTACTTGCATGGTGGCACTACGAGCATACAAGCGAGCAAGACGGCAAGGAGGCCAACTACCAAAGAGAACGGACTCTGGCCAGGGCGACGCGGGTGTTGCCGTTACCGTTACCGAGACGCAAGGTGCATGCCAAAATAGGTTCGGTAACATCGCGTCGTCGCCGCCCAGGGGTGGTGGCGAAGATGTCGCGTGGCCGAAGGTAAAGCTGGGCAACCTGCAGGAGCACTACGCTGCACGATCTGCGCGAGAAAGGGACTTACTGGAGACTGAGGCGGCGGTTACAGCAGTTCTAGCCAACGGCTTTGGCAGCGACATAGATTTGGACGCAGACAGCCTTGGAAGGAGCGGTAGCGGACGGTGCGCAACCCGAACAAGCACTGAGGCGTGTGAACTGGTTGCTGCGGAACTAGCCACAACTCTGGTCAAGGTGGGGGGGGGGTAGGATACACTCGGCAGTGATGGGAGCGACTTCTTTGTCGTTTGGTTTGAAAGGAGATAAATAATCGCCGTTCATGTTTTGTATCATCACTCGGTGTGCATCAACACGTGCTCAACAGTGCGGGACTGCATCGCCTGCAAGTTCGTCCCGTGGCCTGTTGTTGCCCGTGTCGTGTGCACCAAGTCTTCCTCTAGTCAGCATGCCACTCCCGAGGGAAGCATTGTTACAGCTTGTGCAGCGTTTTGTGCGTTCGGTCTTCCTCCCTAGTAGAACTTGCTTTGGTTCCGCTGCAAAGTGTATTTTTGACCTCAGACGAGCCGATGCCCTCCTCTGAATTGTGTGTAAACACAAAAAATCACGCCACCCAGGTCAGCACCAACGCCTTCACCATTTCATCGCTCCGGTGTTCAGACTCACGGGCCGGTCACAACGTGCGACCCTTGAAACACGCAACGGTAGCTGTGGGGCTTTACTTGGTTGCATCGATGATCAACCACTCTTGCCGTCCCAACGCCCTGGCAAGCTTTCATGGGGGAGAGATGAGAGTGGTGGCCACCCGTGCGATCGAACGGGGGGAACCTGTTACCATTTCCTATGGGCCGTTGGCGTCAAAGGTAGGCAAGCCGACAGGTGTGGCTAGGTTGGTGCACAAATGGTCCGTACTTCTACCGAACGTAATCACTGGAACAGCACGCACGACGACTGCTATCCTCAAGTTGTGTAGATCAGAGTTGGAGTTTGAGAGAGAGACATTTAAGTGCCCGCAGATAGAGAAACGTGATGTACCAAAAGCCCTTGGCCGGTGGGAGACGTCAACCAGGCCGAAAAGTCATTTTTCGGTTCGGGAGATTCCGCCCGTGCTCTGGTTTGTTTGCCCGATCGCCGCTCCAGCACTGTATATGACGACCCAGATGAGCGCTGCCGAGCTTCTCGCTTGAGAATTTCGTTTGTGTAAAGCTGTTTTAACATGGATGGTGTTTCGAATTTCAAGTGGTTCTGACCAACTCCTGCTGTGACGCTGGCTGCAAGCGTCCGTCATGATAAGTTCTTAACCCCTTTGGGCCTAGCTCTTCTTTTTTTCGACATAAAAAAAAAAAGGGAGGAGAGAACGCGGGAGAGAAATACAGAAGTACAGCAGAAAGAGACGTGTGTACTTCTGTAGACGGAACAGCTTTCTCCACCCACAGGCCATGAGGGCTGCCCGCGACAGGACGGTGGGCACATACAAGGTCATGGAAGGGTTGACATGTGGTAGCGGTGCGGCCGGTAGTGCAGGTTAGGCTTGTAGACCTCGAAAAGATCAGTGGGCAAGCAGCCTAAACTACTCTATTTTCAGTACATTCAAGTGATGAATGAAAATGACCAGTGAGGCTTGTAGACCCATAGCTGGTGCTTGTACTTCTGTACTTCTCTGTCCCCTCCCCAATGTGAGCCGTGCCGGCATACTACAGCTCCTGTGATTTTCCCACAATTCCCACAAGCACGCAGGCACACCACAGCACACACCCACCTTTGCATCAGTGGCTCTCTAGGTTCGGGCGAGGGTATGTGTAGGGTTATGATGATAGTGTATGTGTTACTACTGTATGTTGGACTCGTCTATACTGCTGCTGCTGTATAGTATAGCTGCTGACACGATGACTGCTGGATCTTGGGAATGTACGATTTTCACATTTGGAGGATATGCAGCATACCACGATCATATCCTAGCCTGGTCGGGCTTGAAGTGCCCCTTTTCGCTGTCATCCTGTCTTTCCTTGAGTGGCTTCCTAGATTCGGGCGAGGACATGTATATGGAGCTATTGATGTGTGCCTCTGTGAAAGGATTGACTTGCGAACACCTGGCGTGGAGGGATACGGGGCAACAACTCCATGGCATGCCACAACACCATCATTTGCAAGTGATCAATCAATGATCAGTCAGGACGCCTGTAGACCCAAAAGGGTTAATATGCGGATGCAACGTACGAGATATCTCATGCACAGCTTGTGACGCGATCGACACGTCGTGGTATCCTTACGAATTTCTTAACGCGTGCCTTATCAGTACATTCGGAAGTATGGCGTTCAGATTTCAACCGGCGCCCGGTGAACCGTACCGCCGACTAGGGCACGCTTCGTTGGCCCAACGAAAACCAGGAACGCTTCCTTTCTCTTTCGAGTTTTGTTTCTATATTCCCTTTTTTAAACCAATCGATTCGTAGATTGTAGCGACCATTTTTCGTTTGCTTCTTCTAGGCAAGGGTTCCTCTTGTGCGTACCTTCTGTTTTTACCGCGACAGCGATGGTTTAGCAGTTTCCCTCAAGCAAAATACCACTCGTATGGCTACTCCTGATGCCTGATTCTCCAGCTTGTCTGAACTTGCCGCTGACTGCCTCCACAGATGTCGTCCACTTCCGAGCGTCAGGCATACTTGAGCCGGGCCTACTTTTTTCGGTGCGAATGCATAGCCTGCCACCCTCTCTCAGAAGAAACTGCCACCACCCCGTCCCGCCGCTCACGCGGCAGCGAGGGTGGCGACGAACGGCAACTCACCGATCGAGACAAAGAGGGAAAAGCCATCGAGGCGACATTTTCGAAACGGACCGATTTCGCTTGTACTGAAGCAGAGAGCGGTGGCTGTCCCGGCACGCTCTGTGTGGGAGTGCCTCCTCCTCCACCTCCTCCTTTTGCACCACCCACGCCCCCGTCGACGACCCAGGGTTGCATCAACTCCGGTGTTGAAAGCTCAAATGTTCCAAGCCCTTGTATCAATCGTGTCCAAGCGGTAGCTTCGACGTCGTCGACGTCGCCGAGCCCCAGGAGAATGGAGGTGGTGGTGTTATGGTGTGACCGTTGCGGGAGCCGCGTTCCGCCAGATCTGGCGGACGCGCTGCTGAAGGAGGACAAGGAGGACCGCCGGCTGTGGGAGGAGGCAAAGGCGGCAATGTCAAGCTCCGAAAAGGGAGCTGGACGTAGTGGAGGTGACGACGACGGGGAACTGAAAAGCATGTCGCCGCCAAGGCGATCCCGTCCGAACACTGGGGAGCGGTGGTGCAAATCCTCAACAACGGAGGATGGCTCGGTAAATGCAGCCCCTTCTCCGGGATCTTTTGCCTCGTCCGATGCGTTGAGCCTTGTCATGGAACGCATCCGGTGGCGCGACCGCTACCTGACCACCACATCGATGCGGAGAGCCGTCGCACACGACATGCACGCGCGCGTTCTCGCGAGCCGCGAAGACTTTCCCGGTGCCGCCGATGCTTGCGCAAGAGCGGTGAGCGTGTTGAAGCGGAGGTTCAGCCCCGAGGACCAGGAGCTGGGCATCGAGTTTCTCAAGCTTGCGGAGCTGTGCTTCAATGCAGGCTGGACAGACAAATGTACCGCAGCTTGTGTGAAGGCTAAGGAGTCGCTCGGGGTTTGTCTGCAACCGGGCGATGAGCAGCTGGAAGCGTTAAACACCCTGCAGGCTTTGTGCGCGGCGGTCTACCATCGTTGACCTAGGGCTGGTGCTGCTTCTTAGTACCGGGTGGTATTTTTGTGTATTGCCTCGTTTTTTTATTATTATTTCTTAGGCGGCCACACAAAGTGACGATTGTCCCATCTGTCTGTCTATGGCCACGTGATGTGTTCGTGACACGCCCTTGTTTCATTAATGTCTAGTGTTGGAAGAGATCCGAACAGTGTAAGTAACACTTCTTTTTTTTCTCCCATCATTGGACTCTGTCGCCTGCCCCTCTGGCCCCTATCCTCCACTTCTACCAGCTAGACGACCCAACCGGGGTTACGTAGGAGGGGGGGGTTGGACCCCCTCCTGCGGTTCCTGCCTGAGATATATAAATCGCGAGAAGGGTACAGCAATGCCTTCCCTCGCGACTCAAGAAGTCGATCAAGTTTATTTACAACGAGCTTTGCAACGCATCGCTTCCAACGGAGACCAGGATTTAATTAGCGAGAAAAAACTCACTCTGGCGGGGCTCGAACCCATGACCTGGTCCTTAGCAGGCTGCGAGGTTACCCACTAGACCACCGGGGCGACCAGTTTTTTTTTTTTTTCCCTCCCATCATTGGACTCTGTCGCCTGCCCCTCTGGCCCCTATCCCCCACTTCTACTAGCTAGACGACCCAACCAGGGTCACATAGGAGGGGAAGGGGGGGGTTGGACCCCCTCCTGCGGTTCCTGCCTGAGGTACTTTTATCGCGAGAAGGGTACAGCAATCCCTTCCCTCCACAGGTGGCCAGTGGGCACGGTTGTACAGGGGCATTGTGTAACCTCCGGCCAACCAGGGGTTATTACATGGGATAACGNCCGGGGCGACCAGTTTTTTTTTTTTTTCCCTCCCATCATTGGACTCTGTCGCCTGCCCCTCTGGCCCCTATCCCCCACTTCTACTAGCTAGACGACCCAACCAGGGTCACATAGGAGGGGAAGGGGGGGGTTGGACCCCCTCCTGCGGTTCCTGCCTGAGGTACTTTTATCGCGAGAAGGGTACAGCAATCCCTTCCCTCCACAGGTGGCCAGTGGGCACGGTTGTACAGGGGCATTGTGTAACCTCCGGCCAACCAGGGGTTATTACATGGGATAACGTGGGGGGGTTACAGGCCGAGCGAGCATAACGTACCAGGTTATGAACGCGGTCGTGCGCGTATTGGTGTGGATGAAGGAGGAGAAAAGAAAAAACTATGTGTGAGCCTTCCCCTCCATTGCTACATTGTATTCAACCCGTATTTGTGATATAGTTACGCGATTCCTCGCTCAGCATTACTTTACGTCGAATTGATCGGTGAAGAAAAGATAACATGGGGTGGATNCAACCCGTATTTGTGATATAGTTACGCGATTCCTCGCTCAGCATTACTTTACGTCGAATTGATCGGTGAAGAAAAGATAACATGGGGTGGATCGAACCAGCAACTTGGGCCTAAATAATCCAATGGTTGACCGCTACGCTGCATGTTGAAGGCTATGACTATTGCACCATTCTATGCTTTTATAGTAGGGGCGGAAACAATGGTAGCAACACCGCCCACGCGGCCGATAAGAGCACACTTGTACTATGCGGTCCCCCCCACGCTAAAGCAGAAACTCCGAGTAAAGTCCTCCGTTACGAATCGTTCAATGGCAAGTTTTTGTTCAGCTAAGTTTTTTATGTTCCCCAGCAGCACAACATATAGTATACGAAGTATAGAATTTTCTAACAATGCTGAGCGCGCAATTGTTTTCAGCAGAGATCCTACTGTATAAAGAGCTCTCAAAAATTCCCGGACACTTGAATCGTGCTCCAATCGTACAAAAACACTTGGAAATACTATAGCACGACTCTGTACGATA